CACCAGCTGTTACAAAGTGCTTTATGAATAAAAAATGATGACAGCTTATATCTATCTATCTATCTATAGAGGGAGATATATACATATATGTGTGTGTGTATGCACAATTCTGCCATTTAAAAATACTGCTCGTACAGATGATTTATTGTAGAAAACAAGCTGCAGGTGGACGGAGGGAGCCTAGAGAAAAATGCAAGTAAGCAATGAAAGCAGTGAAACAACGGCACAGAGCAGCGATATCAGCAGACTGTGCAGAAGAGCTTTCATCAACACTCGACGTGTCTGACCCACAGCTTTCATGTAAAAAGCTCCTTGTTCTAACTGAGGCTCCACAGTTACTCTTCTAGCTCATGGAGCCATGTGATCGAGGAGGGGCTGAACTTCCTTCAGCTCAGTTTAGATCGTTGTCTATGTCTCGTCTGTTCCAGCGGTTCGGATCCCTCTGGATGTTGAGTGCGCGGGCTCTGTTTGGGATCGGCGTCCTGGTGACCTCTCGAGCCGCCTCAGTCCTCGCTCAGACGGGGACATGTCCGCTGGCCGCTGCAGCTAACGATCAGCAGAGGAACCGTTTCAGAAGCAGAGCAGCCTCCACCATGGCCCAGTCTATAAAATATCTGGGGTGAGGTTTCATGTCTCGTACACGGAGCAGTGAAAAAAACGTACAGGTTGCATGTGTGTGTCCGAACTGAGCTGTAGATGCTCCGCAGGCAGGAGGAGGCCCAGCACATTGACGAGGAGCTCTTCAGTGAGTACGGCTTCAGTGTGGACCAGCTGATGGAGCTGGCCGGACTCAGCTGTGCCACAGCCATCACACGGGTGAGATTCAAAGCAACGCTCTTATTTTGAAATAAAAATTACAGTGTTTGTCAATCAACAGCAAATTATTCAGAAACTACTTAAATAACTAAATCAAACATTTTTCAAGCATAAATACCAAACTCCTGCATGTTCCTTTTGACCCACACACAACCACCGTCAGGTTTAGCTCAGTTACGAGGAAACTGGATTTTTGCATTGGCAGCGTAAGTACATGTCTCAATCAGATTACTCCCTGAAGAAGGGAGTGATTTGATTACTCTGTCAGCTGCTGTCATCAGCAGCTGCTCTTTTGATGCTGTATTGTTGTGAATGGTTTTTGTCCTGCAGGCGTATCCAATCACTTCCCTCGTCAAGGCGAGACCGTCCCTGCTGGTGATTTGTGGACCAGGTAACAACGGAGGCGACGGCCTGGTCTGTGCCCGACACCTTAAGCTCTTTGTGAGTGTCCCACACTTGTGTGACAGTAAAGCTGTTTTTGTGAAAGCATTCTTCACAAAGTCAAACTCGGATGTGTTAGTGAGAATAATATCTTCCTTTGCTGTGCCGTCTCGCAGGGTTACGAGCCCACCGTCTTGTACCCGAAGAGGCCGAACAAGCCGCTGTTCCAGGGCCTGACCACACAGTGCCAGAAAATGGAGATCCCTTTCCTGACTGAGATGCCTGAGGTTCAGTATTAATCAATTATGCATCAGCTTCATCCTCAGTGGTGAAGGAAATGTTTCTGCTTCTTGTGTTTATGAATGTGCATTTTATTTCCGGCTGTGCGAAGCCTGAATTACACAGAATTTGATCTTGGTAAATGAAGTCTCGGTTTAGATGGAGCCTTAATGATCCTCGTGGGTAAAATGGGTTTTATCGCTCATAATACCGCAGTCAGAAATGTGATCAATAACTGATGATGCAAGATCTGGATTAGTCTGTGTTTTGAGACAATGAAAAAAATCCCTGTTCATTTCTCTGTACGTGATTATCTTGTCAGGCCCAATTGATTGATGAGGCTTACAACCTGGTGATCGACGCCATTTTCGGCTTCAGCTTCAAGGGGGCGGTGCGAGAACCTTTTGGTTCTATTTTAGACGTGCTGGAGAAAACCACCGTCCCCATCGCCAGCATCGACATCCCCTCAGGTCAGTCCACACACAGTCAGAACTTTACAAGGACAAAACAAATAAATGAAACTGTGTAAGAAATGTAAAGCTGATTTTCTGGTGTTTATAAATCGTCTGTCGTTGTAAGAAAGATTAACTTCAGTCTTATCGATCACCTGAGAAAAAGTTGTTTTATGCTTCTCTGAATTTTTAACCTCAATTAAAGGTGTGTTTATTTAAAGGCTGGGATGTGGAGCAGGGCAGCGCCGACGGACTCCAGCCCGACATGCTCATCTCCCTCACCGCTCCGAAGAAATCAGCCTCCTTGTTCAGAGGACGGTACCACTTCCTCGGAGGCCGCTTTGTGCCCCCGGGCCTGGAGAGGAAGTACCAGCTCAACCTGCCTCAGTATCCCGGAACGGACTGCGTCTTACAACTGTAGGAGTTTTAGGTTTGAATAGGACAGGTCTGTTGTTTCCCCAGGAAGGAATATTTCAACACTAATTCACTTTCTTTCCAGAAGTTAGATGAGCTTATAAACACCTCTCATCAAGGATGGAGTGTGAGCCAGAGGGAAACTCATTAACAGATTAGCTGATATACTTTGAGTCTGACTAAGTGCTCGTAGGTGTGCTGTGCCAGAGTCTGTGCAGTGTGACGATCATGATGTGGAGCTGGAACTAATTAAAACCAAACTTTTGTTTAACGTGTATTTTGACTTTTAAGTTTGTTCCGAATCCCATCCACTAACGTAGGAGGAGGCAGTGTTTACGACCTTTACTGAAACCAGCCACTAGGGAGCGATCAAGAGGATTTGGCTTCACTTTAGGGGAGCTGTCGTGTCGTCCATCTTTATATCCAGTCTCAAATGACAGTGTTTCCCTAAATGTTGAACTATTCCTTTAAATCTGTGACTGAAACTGGTTCTAATTGAATGACTGGCTTTGGGAAAGTGTTTAAAAGGACGAGAAGCCTGTAAACGGTGAAATAATATAAAAAAACATTAAACAAACAGGATTGGAAGCTGGATTTCTTCTCATTATCGTAACCAGCTCATCATAATGACAGATGACATCTCCACCTCGTGTGTGTTTTCTCAGATTTTATTAGCACATCTCAAGGTTTCATTGTACGACTAACAACTGCAGAGACCGTCTATAATAATCCGACACATTCTATTTTATAAATAACTTCACCGTACATGTTGTTTGACTCATTATTGAAACATCAGGTGGTGATATAGTAAAAACCTTTCTTTTACAATCAACCTCACGGAGTCCAGCAGACCAACGTGCATTTCCTGTGAATGAGTAACTACATATGCTTTAAGAAATACTGTGTGTGTCGTATATGCTTTCAAACAATGTGGCTCATTAATGCATAATGGTTTCCCTTAAGTGCAGGACATGCTTTTGCACGCAGAAGACTATATACAGTGCTGTTTGTAATGTCACATCCGCTTGTGATGTGTGCTGAGGAAAAGGTCAAATAGAGAGTTGAGATGATGAGGAGACTTGTCCCCAGCTTGTCTTCATGCAGGTCAGAGGGTGGAGGGATGTTTTCAGTCTGTGGAAGAAACCTGAAGGAAAAGACGAAAATATTTTTACCGTCACATATTCAAATCCAGTTCTGCAATAAATCTTTCATAATCGGTTTCGTTACGTCCGCCAAGGAGCTTGTGTTTTTACCCATGTCTGCTTATTTTGGGTTTGATTTAGGGAACTGATATCTGTGAGTGTGGCACTGATACTTTGGAGTTTATTAAATATTGAATTTTCACATACCTTTGCTATTCTCCAACCTGCACCCCTGCACAGTTATCTTTACTTTCCGAGGCTATTGCTAAATATTCAGCATTTCTGGAAGGAGAAATATAATTTAAAAAAAACAAGTCATGAATGTTTTACTCTGTCACAGTGACATGGCTTTTAAAAAAGTAAAAATATAAGTACACAGATAAGATCATACAACAGGTCTTTGTTTCTTTTTTGACTTACAGTAGGGGAGAGTTTGGTTTTTACTAGGGTGGAGGAAGACATGACGGGACGGACAAGACGAAAACACGACAGGTAGACAGACGGAGCGTGAGATGGCAGACAAAGAGACACACGTGAAAACACACACACACACACAGGATGTAAATGACCTGAAGTAAAAAAGTAAATAAGAGGACAGATGAACTAGAGGAGAGGGAGATGAACCAAAGAGAGGATGTAACAAAGGTATAATTATAGGTGTGAGTTCAGCAGTGAGACATAAATAACGAAGTAATCAGGTGGAAACACACTTTTCAAAGCATTATTGTAAAAAGAGAACTGAAGGAAAACTCAAATAGAAAATAATCTTGCAGATATTTGAATTTTCACAACTTTGTTTCAATCATGCAATTTCTTTTTTTTTGGAGATTTCAGGTTTTCAAAGCCTTTTTGTCAGTTTCAGAATATGGAAGAATACGTATCCCAAAGGTTTTAACCCAGATGTGTGTTGTTTCTGAATAAACAAGCACGAGAGCATAATCGTTACCAGAAAACACGGGAGCTGATAGGTCACAAGAAACTGCTAGAAATTACACTTCATCTTCCACAACCGAGCACTGACAAGTTTATTTTTCAACTGCAAAACTAATTTCCGGAACATCTTGGTTACAATCCCTTGAAATCCAAATTTAAAGAATCCGTCTCGTACATGTTTGTGCTTTTCTTTAAATGTTATTAAAAAACACAAACGGCAGAAACATGTCTTTAGCTTTAACAGACAGTTTTCAATGCTATTTAAAGATTTGCATTGAAACAAATATAAAAACCACAANTCAAAGGGTAAAAAGCTTTATGCACAGTGTGGCCTGTAGAGTGTCTTCCATGCTGTAGTTAACTTGTATTGTTGATATGTTTATTGTCCAGTATTTGATTAGTGACTCACACCCTGCATATGCATGTATACTGTAGCTAGATGCAAGGATTTAAAATAATTAGTTTCGTACCTTCAAGGCTGCTCACTTGTTTTTATGAGTAACATTTAACATTTGTTTGACTTTGGTATAGAGCGATGGAAGGGAGCCCCCAGCACCTCCCGTTGACTAGCAGCGGAGCCAGATGACCAAGACTCCTCCACCTGCTCTGACTGGAAGTGCACAGTTATCTACTTACTGTGACCAAGACAGTGCCATCTCCCTGTCCCTTCATACAGATATCTTTAGCCTTTTTTTCTTTTTCTAACTGCTCAGTGTTGTTGGGTTAATCCGTCTTTGATTCTTGTTTGCAGATCCTAACTGATATTGGATTGATAAAGCCAATGCAGATATGAGTTTAAAAACATTTGATGATATAATGATCAACAATCAATTCACAACATGAACAGTTGTGATGGTTTATGTTTCAGCTTTGGTGGAAGCAAAGGGCTGTGTTGTCATTTGAAACGTATCACATCAAACCTGCCGCCTGAGCTCCAGACAGACAAACAGAAATCTCCGTCACAACAAATATAAAAACCACAAAAAAAAAAAAAAAAAAATCACCAAAGTTGTAGTTACAAGGTTTTAACAGCACCAACAGCCATCAACAAAAATAAAATACTCACGCTGCTTCTCGTAACGCCTCCTCCCCAGCCGCTGCAATCTTTCTGTAGCAGTATATCATCTCTATGAGGAGCCAGACCTGCAGCCCGATGATGGACACGTACATCATGACCTCTGACACGATGGAAGCTGTTCCTCTGGTCGCTGCAAAGGAGGCGGCAGGAAGTCGACTCATCAGACAGACACTCACAACGCTCCTTCATACAGGTAACAACCCACCGACAGTCGATGATTCATCTTTTCAGCGTGCACGGAGTTTGAGTGTACGCAGCTATGTGGCCGAGTGCTTTTACACTGGAAGAACATTTTCTGGTCAAGGAAGCAATCAACTGCGTTTGTGTCCTTCCTGATCTCAGTTGTGCAAGAGTCCTCTCTGGGACATTGTGTGAATCATCATCATCATCATCATCAGAAGCTGCTGTATCTTCACTTCACATCTGATTCACCAATTTTTCCAGAATATTTAGAGCGATGCAATAAACAAGATTCGGAAAATCTAATCTACCTGAGACAAAGAAAACCCTGCTTTTAGAAGATTATCTGTTGAAGAGCCAGCGTGGACAATAAACCCCCACACTGATGCTGACTTTCTCCACTACTTCAACCCTGCCTCCTCCATGTTAGCAGGTGGGACATGGATGAAACTTCAGAAGTCAAAGTACAGTTTGGTTCCGCTTTGTCTGACAAGAGAAACACGTTCATGCATGACCTACCAACCGAGACTGACTTGCGATTGGACGAGCGCGTGTAAGTCAAAAGTGCAATATGACGTTATGCGTATTCAAGTGTTCTACTTTGTACGAGAGGTGTAAAAAGATCTCGTGCCAAGCAGTGAAGCTAGTGTCACCGTACCTTTGGCCACCACATTGAGGTGAACCACCTTGGTGACGTCAGTGTTGTACTCGTGGTTTTCGTAGAAGAGGATGCGGTGGAAGAAGCAGCTGTAGGTGCCCGTGTCGTTGAAGGTGACGTTGAGCAGGTATATGGATGCATCCTGGATGTCGTTGCTCATTTTGCTGCCGTTCCAATCCACGCGATCCATGAAGTCGTCGCTCTCGATGGAGGCGACGCCCTCGTTGTAGGTGTAGATCTGAGAGACAAGAGGGGTTCATCGAAAAGGCTACTGTGAGAAAACTGCTCATACACAGTTCATTTGCACGGCACTCAAATCAAATCATCGAATTCATTTTTATGTATTTGTTATTCAATGTTCTCTACCTCTTCAGGATGTTTCCTGAGCTGCTGTAAAATTTCAATTTCTCCTCCAGGGATCAGTGAAGTCTCATGATAGATGATGGGTCAAGGTTCAAAGTAGAGAATTTATTACTGTGAGGTTAGAGGGAGCAGAAGCGGTCGCATCATGTGTGCGTGCAGGAAAGATAATCAATCCATACTGCCACATCAAGTCAAAGTTATATAAATGACCTGATCCTTAAAACTATTTTGTTGTAAGTATTTAACTGTGTGTTTGGGTCAATGTTTTCACCGCTGTCCATTTGTCTGTTTGTTTGTCCTTATCGATTTTCTCTTGTGGATGGGGTGGATGTGTTTTTTACTTTGGATAATTTCCCAGAGAATAATTCATGGATCTTGATGAAAAACAAAAATCAGGCATATTTAGGGAACAGATTCAAGTCCGTTCTGCAATAAACCCATATTTGGTATTTGGATGTTGCTGCACTGAAGCGCAGTGTACACAGCTACATGCTCAGTGACAAACAGAGGAGGCAGCACAAGGTCAACACAGTCGTGTGTCATCTCTGCAGCTTTAATGATCTCTGTGTGCAAAATATCACAACTGATTCCTCTTGGTGACCTCAGCAGCGGACGCTATCATGTGATCGAGGACAATGTGTGTGTGTGTGTGTGTGTGTATATGTGAATGAGAGAGACACAGGAGAGCTTGAGTTTCACTTCATATACATGCATGTGTATGAATATAGCTTATGTCCTGAGGGATGAAGTTTTATTTTAACGATTCTTGGAAGACTAGAACTCCGCGAAGGAGCCACATTAGCGCCGGCATCAGACTCAAAACACACACTCATTAAATGAATGGTGGATTTGCACTCACATGAACAAAGTCAGCTTCTCCTTTGGGCCTGAAGTACCATTCCACAGTGGATGTACTCTCCACCTCACTCCTCAGCTTGCAGGAGATGCAGCCCAGCTTGAAGCCCTTGCCTGCCACTGCCTCGGTGTCCGAGGACACCTCTGCGCAGGCCGCATGACACCGGTGCACTGTTTAGAAAGGAAAAGAGAGTGGTTTATTTATTTTTATTCAGCTCTGGGTTTGCATGAGGTAGAATCAAAACTAGAGAAGAACTCACCGAACAGCGTGCAGAGCAGAGAGAGGAGCAGGAGCTGAGATGCTGCCATGTCACTGGACGAGGATCCTCAAAAACTAGGATTGTTGTCGAAGCTCTAAGTGTCACCTATACACAGAGCACCTCCACGTTTTCAGTGACTGAAATTTCAACTATATTTTGGAGCTTATCTGCAAATTTTAAAAATCTGTAGGCCAGTAAAGTGCAGATCAATCTCAGTTGTATGTGCCTGGCAGCTCATGCATCACTAAGTGCAAAAGAAAAAAAGCGTATCGGTCCCCAGGCCACTCCCTCCTAAATGTGTTTATGATGTCCTGACAGGCCTGTATTTCTCCTCTCAGTCATCCAAGAGCATCATTAGACTATCTCTTATAGCTGGTGTCTCACAGTGCTCCCCAGATCGACACACTGAGATTTGATTATGTGCTTCCCTGAGGTCCTAATGTGAGATGCACAGAGGGATCATTAGATCTGCCTGCAGGGGCCACATTGCTCTGCTCTCTCTATCTTGACAAACTCAACTCAACGAAACACCGGATTGTGTTTATCCAACGTGCAACATAACAAGAATTGACCTGCACGTCTACAAAACACCCAACATGCCAGTGCATATATTCATATAACATGCATGCTCTATGGGGGATTGAATTGCTACCTCGTGCAGGCAAAGGTGCAAAAAAATAAAAACCGCAGTCCTCGATGTGAGGCCTCCTCGAAGCACAGGCAGATAAAATATTCCTCTCCTGTGATGTGCACTTGTAATCTCACCTATCTAATGACCTCGGAGAAGAGATGCGTCCTTCGTGTTGCAGGAAAAAAAAAATGCGCGAGGACAAGAGCCACGCGCTTCAAATGGATGAAATGAAATGTAAATATGTGCAATAGTCCTGTGCTCGGTCAGCGGAGCGTCTCTCCTGCTCGGTCAGCGGTGCGTCTCCTGCGCCACGGCGGCTCCTCTGTGGCTCCGTGCGGAGGATGCTCGCTGCAGATGCACTGCGGTAAATCCACGCGGCTGTGCGGGGATGACTGTGCAGATGCTGCCGGGGATTTTAAACCTGCATTTGAAAAAAAAAAAAACCCCACAACATCCAGCGGAGGCCTCACCTTGACATTACACTGAATCTGACGGGGGATAAAACGCGTCTGGAGCCGCGGTGCAGCCTCTGACATCACGGGGGGAGCTGCTCCTTTAAGCTCCGGGCTGCGGGGAGGGGGGAGCGGGGTCGCTGGGGCGGGGTGAGCCCGGCATGGCGGCGCACGGTCCGGCGTGAGTTTCCGATCACGCAACGCTCAATAAAAAAAAAAAAAAAAACCCTCCGGTGTCCGTCCGCACCGCCATGAAACCCGCTCGTAAAGCACCAGCGAGGTCGACGTCGTCCGTGTCATGGCGTCTCTTCACACTTTTAAAAAACCCCCGGACCAAGACACCCACTCGCGTCGTGCGTGAGGCCGGTGATGCTGCGCTGTCAAGCGGCTAGCATCGACTGTAGCTGCGCCTTCGGGCTAGCCGCTGTTAGCATCTGCTAGCTTGATTTTTTTTGTTTTTTTTTTACGACATAAACAAGCGATGACACTCGTGGGGGATATACACGCGGGATTCAAGATGAAATAATTCGCGGATCTCCACGAAGCCGATTTAAGTTGAAAACTCTTCGTGCGGACATCGCAGGTAAAGTACTGAGCTATCGTTAGCATGCTAGCAAGCGTTGTTAGCCACGAGCCAACGAATGCGGTGAATCACAACAACAATGCGGAGCAGTTGTGTTCCTGTTGAGTCAGATTTAACAATGGTGATTACACTGCCAGTGTTGTCGATCGTCTCTGTTTACAAGGTGCTTTGAGGTGAGCTAACATCAGCTAGCTCAACGTAATGATCATCAGGTGGATGCTAATGCTTCATAACAAAGCTCTGCTGTCTGACATTCGTACTGGACACAAGGATTAATAGCAGAAATATTAACAGGTATTTAAACAATAAGTTATTTTCATTACAGAGTATTCTGCTCATTAGATTATATATGAATCTATCACTTATAAACAGCTATAATCAAAGCTCATGTGATTAGATGCTTGAATAACCACTTTCATCAATTGTTATCATCTCTTGTATATGAGACTAAAATAATAGTCCAACATCGTTTTAAATAAGAACTGTTTAAAATTTCATTTACTGTCTAATAAGATGATTCAGATCACATTTGATTGATAATATTTATAAAGTAACTTGACTGATTTATATGTTTTCTACTTATCTGCTAAAATGTTAATTATTCTTATGAGGAAATATTTGATATTGACATGATTCAAACTACACAAGTTTGTTTATATATATATATATCTCCCCTCACTGATAATGAAGGTATCAGGAAACACAGAAAATCAAACTAAGCTTGAAAATCTCAAATATTTACATCATCAACACATATTGTACAGAAATCTGTCCTTGATCCAAAAGGGATGTTTCCCTGAGGGAATTGTTCTTCCTTACGACATCAACAAAAATGCTGAAGATAAGATTATTTATTTATAACCTGTTAGGAAACTGAAGAGTCAGCAACAAAAGAAGCACAAGAACACACGCTACGTTAAAAAAAGACATGGAACAACACGAATATTCTGTTGTGTTACTCCTCAGCTTTGTGCGACCATGGATCCGACCTGCAGCGCCTCGGCAGCTCCAGCTGGTCTGACCGTGCAGGTGTGTTTTCCTGGCGCTCGCGCTGCCGTTTTGGACAATCTGAACCGTCAGCGGGAGGAGGGCAGGCTGTGCGACCTCTCCATCCAGGTGCAGGGCCAGGTGTTCAGGGCTCACCGCTGTGTGCTCGCTGCCTCATCGCCTTACTTCCACGACCAGGTAGGCGGAGGTTCATCATCCGTTCTGAAAGGGTGTTGTTGCTCTTTGGCCACGTCGTTCATCCTCTTTGTCTGTCCAGTTCGGAAAAACTCCGGCTACGCCCTCACAACTACATTTTATTTTTTAGATTGCATCAATTTTGCCATTAAACCAGAGATGTTTGAAAACCATGGTACAGTCACTGTAAGTCAATAACAGACTTCTATAAGTAACCAACTGCAGAGTTGACAATGTACTTCCTGTTGAAACTGGGACGCACACGCCCAGTGTACGAGAATTTTCATGTAATCTGTCTTAACAGGTGTGTTACTGTGTGTGGGCATTGTTTCTGATACGAAGGTAAACCGCTTGTGTGGACGCAGATTATATTAACTTTAAATCTGCCACAGGGTCGTCTGGATGTAGCCTCAGGATGTCTCTTGTCTCTCAACAGGTGTTACTGAAGAATGTCACAACAGTTTCTCTGCCCTCGGTTATGGACCCGGTAGCTTTTGAGAGTGTCTTGAGCTCCGCTTACACCGGCCAGCTGAGCATCGTGCATGACGATATTGTCAACTACGTCACCGTGGCCAGTTTCCTTCAGATGTGGCACATTGTGGACAAATGCACTGAGATCTTGAAGAGGCCCCGGGTTCCAGTAGAAGTCCCCTCTGGAGAGGCCGCTGCAGCTCACCAGGGCACCGCATCACGACAGCAATCCCCCAGCAGCACCGACTGCTTGAATTTGGAGAGGGAGGGAAGAAGGAGGGAGAGGAAGCCTGACGCTCTGCCCCCCTTAGCTACCTGGAGACGTCCGCAGCAGTTTCCTAGATGGGGGCGTCCGCGGCCCTCATCAGCCCAGCACTTAGCTGACACTCAACTCGACACGTTCCCCAGCTACACGGAGAGTGATTACACCAGCTGCGAGGAGGCATGGGTGTCAAGCCACGTAAAATCCAGCCACTTTGCACATGATGGTCCTGGACACAGCAGCCGGCATCACGGGGGGTTTGCCAGTGGAGAGACATTAAAGCAGAAAGTCAGGTTTCAACAGCGGGGAGCGACGCCGAGTGCTGATCGGCTGCTTGATAGGAGCAGAGGAAGCGGAGATGGTGATCAGAACCAAGAGAAGAGAAAGAATGAGAAGAGAGAGATTGAGGCAGATGAAGGAATAGGTGACAATGCTTCAGAGAAAGAGAGCTTCGCACAAATGGGACATTGTGGTAAGATATACAAGCCTCATTTTACTGTAGCCAGGAAAGAATCTTGCTTTAGCTTCTACTACAGACATTCATTATTGCATTCAATGTTTTACTACAGTCAGGAATTCAAATACTTCTTTATATAACTCAATGTTTGGGTTTTAGATTTTTCAACATTAGTGACATGATACCTGAATTTAGCTTCTGATACCAAATCTATACTTTGTAAAACCTTAGTTTTGTAAAAATGAACTGTCACACAAAACGTTTCCCAAAATGAAATACTAAAATTAAAAAAGAATCAATGGAATATCACAGCTTTATAACGAGCCTGTACTTCCATATTGGCCCACGTGTTCTTTCTACTCTTCTTCTCAGTACAGAATCTAAATAAATATATTCTAACTCTGTGCATGTGATCTGTTTTCTCCAGCTGACCTGCACCAAGTTTCAAATGAGAACGCAGAAGCCGCACAAGCCACAGGAAAGACTAGCGCGGACGTGATGAAGGAAAAAGTGCAAAGAGATTTGGTGGGAAGTGATCACTCCTCCAACCTGCCCAGTGTTCATGCTTACCAATCAGGTGATAGAGATCTGGGCCCGTCCTGTCCGGATTCAGCCCGGCAGCAGTGGCAGCCGGGTCCCTGGTCTCATCAAGAGCACAGGCCTCAGGAAGGAGAGGCCGGCAGCTGCAGCAAGGATGAGGATGAGGACGAGGAGGAGGAGGATGTGGATTTTGAATGTTTCACTGAAGGGACCTTTAACAGAGACACGTACGATGAGATTGAGGATGGCACGGGACAGGTTTCCCAGAGGCCTTTGGTGCCTGCGTCTCCAGACTTCACCACGGCAGCCTCCGAGGGGCACTGGCCCTCCACCAGCGTGGGACAAAGTGGATCATTGACCTCCACCTCCAGTCGCCACTTGTCCCCATCCTCTGCCGCTTTCCCTCCGCCCCCCTCACCCCCAACCCCCTCTTCATCATCCTCCGTCTCACTCGCCGGCGCCCCCTACACAGGAAAAGTCCACTTCTGCCACTGTGGCAAGGCCTACACTCTGAAGAGTATGCGTGACCGGCACGTGAAGATGCAGCACCTCAATCTCCGGCCTTTTGGCTGTCCTGTTTGCACAAAGTCCTTCAAGATGAAGCACCATCTGACCAAGCACCTTAAGACCCACGGAGGGCTGCGGCCCTACGAGTGCGGCCTGTGTGGGAAGAAAGTAATTTGGAGAGACAGCTTCCTCAGGCATCAGGCTCGATGCGAAAGACTTGCCTCCAGCTCCTCTGCGAACAGCCACAATGCGAGCACAACTGCGGCAGATATGGATGACAGCTACGGTTATGGATTTGACGAGGGTGAAGCTTTTCTCGTGACAGGAGGACAGGTGAAGGTGGAGGAGGTGGATTTTCACGGGGGGATGGAGGGCGGAGGGATGGGTGGGCTGCTTGGCAGCGTGTCTGGGATTGTGGATGAGCTCAGAACTCAAACGCAAAATCTGGACACTGGTCACGTTTTTAAAGAGGAGGCGAGTGAGAGCTTTGGCGGAAACTAAATATTAATGTGAAACAGGTTTGTGGCACCTGAACTGTATGTAGATAAATACATATAAGACGGACAATGCATCACATGATCACTTTGAAAGTCTACGGACACGAATCATTGAGGGTTTCTTTGAGAAGCTGCTTTATTCGTTTTTTATGTGCATACATTTCATGTAATGGGTAAAAGCTTCATTTGTGCAGTGTCATGTAAACTCAGTTCTTGTTTTGTGATGCTGTAAACTGTACATCTTAAACAAGCCATCCTGTGAATGTACTCCAATAAATTTAAAGCAACACTCTATAACCTGTACTTAGCAACAGCGCCCTCTAAAGCCACCTGTTAATTATTTCTGTTGGGATCCGTGTCCGAGCGATTACGTGGATTTCATCAAGAGAAGAAACCACTGAAACAAACCCACCGAACTCTTTAGATTTCACGGCTGAATATTGGAGATAAACTCCAGTTCAGCTTTACTCTTCAACTTGCTGGAAATGATTCTGACAGATGAAGCTGAGACTCTCAGTCAGTTCCAGACTTCTCACAGGAAATCGAACCCACTCACCAAAGCTCCAGACGTTCAGACTGAGTGGGAATGAAAGAGGCACTTTAAACTACAAACGTTGCATAGTGTTGCTTTAATTTGCATTTTGCACATCGTTTTTTAAATAAATCTGTACACATGGGTCAATCTTGATATATAAGTTAATAAAGTTTGGATGTTAGATTGTTGAATGCTGTGACTCGTTCTATAAAACCCCCCTCGCTTCACATGAACAGATCCTAAGTGAGATAGGAGGGAAAATATTAGATGTTTGATGATAATGAAAATGAAATGAAAATACAATAGATTGACTTGAATTGAAGAAGGGAAATATAAAACCCTACTGAAAAAAGACTAAATCATTTTTTTAAAAATGAAATGTAAAAGAGATCCAGGAAGTGAAGAAATACAATTTTACCTTCTGAAAAAAACCTAAGCAAAACGGGCAAACATACATTATATGTGTAACCACAAGCCAATTATCTCCAGGAAGCTCCGAGGTAATTGTTGTTTTGTTGGTGGTTGTTCTTGAGCATTATTTCTAATGTGAGAAACAATGTTCTTCCTGCCTCTAGAGTATTGACGGTGGAATGAAATGAGGACGACTCATCCTTGTCTAGTCTGTAGGATGAACAAAAGCACAACCTGATGTAAATTCACCAGCTTCATGTTGGGATTAACGTCTGAAAGAGAAGATCGACCTCCAGAGGATGTTCTCTTTTTATTTTTGGAGCATGGGTTGAGTCAGGATCTCAGTAATTCAGCTGCTCAGTGAATCTATTGATTTCCATTACTAATTCGATTGCAGACGTTAATTATAGTGTCAAATTTATCTTATATATTATTATTTACTTTTCTTATATGGACTTTTCACCGTCGACCCGTCAGGACCTGCAGATAAAAACTAGCCTAACATGTTCATTAATGTGTATTGTCCCTTTTATATAAGTAATAGTAAAAACTAAATACAGATTTTGGTTTCATACCAGTATTTATCTATATGAGTTCACTTTCATAGTAAATTTGATTATTAGTGTAATTTGAATGCGTTTAATTTGGTTTGAGTGGCAGCTCCTCTTTACAGCCTCTGTCTGAAACACAGTTTTAGTTCCTGTCTCGTTAAGCCCCGCCCTCATGTTGGTCCGCTCTGTTGTGATTGGTCGACCACTTCCAACCAGCGACGGTACGTGTCTCCTAACTTATATTTAGGGTTTGAAAAGTTTGTTGTGTCTCATTGCCTCGGAAACCCAGAAATGTAAATAAAGTCAAGTCAAGAGAATTTTCAAATTTTAACTAAGAGACGACAAAAGATGTTTATTTCCAGTTAGGTTGAACATTAAAAACCAAGAGTTTTACATAACGTGGAAACACAACACTCAGTTTTCTGCTCCTGTAGCACCAACATGTCAGCAACCTCAGAAAAAGACGTCTTTACGACACAGTTAGAGCGAACTCACAAACAGATCGTGTACAAACGAGAACCGTGATCCAATTCACTACGAACACAAAAGAAAATGACCATTATACCTCAGAACATTTAAAATCAACATCCCGTCCTTTAGCACGAAAACTCCTGCTGCTCCTCTCGCTGCTTCCGCCTTAAAACACTTACGATCCCACCATCGACTCAAACAAGCCTTTCAAAATAAAACACAAACGACATTAAAACCTCAAACTTAATATAAGACGCAAACAGATCACGTACAATAATAATAATAATAATAATAAATGAGATGATGCTAAAGCTACTATGTGGGACCAGATGTATTTACACTTGTGTTATTATCAGTGCATTTAAAAGGGCATTTTCATTCTTCTCATTTGACAAACTGTACATGTTTAATAATCCCAAACAAAGCTGTTATATCAAAACAATATCAAGTACAAATCAAGCACAAGCAGAAGCTCACTCTGTGGAGACGTCCCGTGTTTTTGGTTGGTGTGAGCGGAGGAAGCAGCGAGATACAAAAAGCGTCACTCGTGTACAAAATGCAGACGACGAATAGAAAATCAGACAGCAGACAGTGGCACCATCAGAACAACGTGATTTTTACAGTCGGATATTTAAGTTAAAGCTTTGCCAAACCTGTCATAAACAAATTATAAAGACAAGATACCCGGATTAAAAGGAGAACAGACCCCAGAGAGTGAAGTCTACACAGTGTCAGTGTCTAAAGATTCACAAAGCTTGGTGTTAGTGAGTTAAAGTTTCTTGAGGTTGTGAGTCCGCCGCCGCCTGCTGATCTGTGTCTCCTCCCTCGTCTCGTCCCATCGGCATTGGGTCTGTGGTTTGGTCCTCGGCGGAGAGCTTAGAAGATGGTGCTCCAGCGTTTGGGGGGTGGACGGGACTTGGTTTCTCCCTGGAGAGAAGAAGAAGAAGAAAAAGAGAAGAGTCTATTTTCTGTCTGGCGGCTACGAGAAATCTGTGGGATGGGGTTTCATGAAAGTCGATTTGATTGTCAAGTGTTTCTTGAGATCCACTCTGAAAGTTCCCCCTCAGAAGAGTCGAGGTAGATGACGTGTGTGTGGGAGATTTAATAGATGGGTTTATGAAAATGTTGCTCTTCGGTTTGTTAGTTTATTACGATGACAGGCTGCTGTGAAAAGCATCTGGATGAATTTAAATAATATAAACAAACTGAAATGATGAATCTTTATGACCTCTGCCAAGGAGGTTATGATGTCGCCCCTGACTGTTTGTTTGTTTCGATCCAGATTACGCAAAAACAACTGAACGCATTCCCACGAAACTGGGTGGAAGGACGTTGTATACTTTAGCAAAGAACTCATTTAATTTTGGTACAGATCCGGCTTTTAACACTGTGAGATTTCCCCCATTTTCCTGGGGAATAATTCACAGATCTTGATGAGAAGAATCAGCCACATTCAGACGGATGATATCCACGAGTCTGTGTAATTCCGTGCAGCTCGATGGAATCGAAGGGGACTGTTCGGCCTTGGCGGAGGTATGTGCTCATTCTAAAATTGCATTGATTCATTACTCACTGATCTCTGATGGGAGCATCACTGTTGCATTTGGGTAAACACAGACAGGGGAAGATTTCTGATGAGCTCCAGTTTTATTGATATATAAAAAAAGAGGAGATTCAGATGTGAACATGCAGTGAGCTCACCAGGTTGAAGAGTCTGGACAGTGTGCTTTGGTCTCTGCGTCTCCTGACCGGCGACTTTGCGCTCTCAGCACGTGGCGACGAGGCCTAGAAAAAGATGGTCTGTAAGCACAGATGTGGACCTGAGGCCGTGGCCTGAAAGCACGTCTGCTGCTTTCGGCACCGTTTGACCTTTTTCATGCAGACGTTAAATTCATTTTACATCGATGGGACCTTTTTTCTCTTTTACGAGACGGGACACGTTTTTGCCTCAGATCATCATCGACGTCCCACAACAAAATCCCAAATGTAGAACCAGTGCTTGAATTACAGAGAGCAGACGTATGGATGTTGTTGGACAAAAAAAACCACATATCCACAAATCACACAAAAATATAAGAATTTCTGCATACATCCTTAATAATGCACTTTTTGTACGTTTATCTCTTTTTACCAGACCAATTTAAATCTTGTAAATCTACAGAGGTAAATATAAATGTGCTCGTTGACTGCTCTGATTTCCAGGCTGCCTCTTTGTTTTCTTTTTCAAACTATCCCCCGTTTAATTTCATTGGATTCAACCTTTTAGTAATTGGATCTATTTTTTCACTGGGTTTTAAAGTGCTTTACAAGCTGAATTTCCCCTGTGGACAATAAACAGAATCGATGTGACTGCTTTGTAATAACAGAAACTCTAGAAATTGTAGATTTATCAAAAGGTCGTTTCGAAATAATCAAATGTTTTAGTGATTTTTGAAACGGAACAAAAAGTGCAGGTATGTGGTTTCTCTGCCACAGCAGCGATGTGGAGGGAAAGAAAGCTGGGAGAGAAGAACGTGAACACGTGACAGGACCGGATTCACATGACAACAACCTTTAGGGGAAGGAAAACGTCTGACAAGAGCGAGTTAGAGTCCGCAGTGAACCGACTGACACAGACGTGAGAGGACGTCAGAGGACACATATGTCTCACAAGAAGGTGGGGAGCCAAAACATACGGAGGAGTGAGTCATCTCTGGCACAGAGGAGGTGTAGGTGTTAAAAAAAAAACTAGAGGTGTGAAAGAAAAGAGGAAGAGGAGGAGGAGACAGATGCAGGCCAAGAGGTCCTAAGAGAAAATGTTTACCGGTTGTGGTTCATAAAAAGCTGAGCAGTTTCAAAGTCATCCAGAAGCAGCGAGTCGCTCTGGATTCAAGCAAAGAAGGGGGGGGGGATTAAAATCTATCAGATTTACTCTGAGCCAATAATCAGAGGTCGCAGAAATCAATCAGCTCTTTATTTTTTGATTTACAGATCACCGCTCAAGCTCCGTGGCCTCGGGTGAATGATCAGCTCTCGTTTGAAGAATGTCTCGATTCCAAAAGTGTAAAAAGATATTTCTCTTCAAGGAAAGCAGCGAAACACAAAGCGAGACTGAACAAGAGTGAGGGTTAGGTAACAGGTGCACTGCAGACAAAGGAGCTCTCTACGGGATCATTGTTCTCACACACACACACACACACACACACACACACACACACACACACACACTCAGCGGTGCACTCAGAAGTCGGGCTTTTGTTCCATTGCAGAAGGAAAGACTGAATGACGTACCAAGCCCAAGACATCTCTCCACTGGACATGAAAAAGAAACATACAGTGACATGATGAGATGAGCGACAGTGAGAGCGTGATTCCTCCGCCTCAACACAGCGAAGAACAATCTGGATACAAACATGACATCATCAGATTAGACTCAATGTGGGGGTGAACGCGAGTAATGTGGGCTGACTTCCATTGTTGATGTTAAATAGAAACCACACGTATGCGTGCATGTAAATATTTCAGTTTCCTGTGTGATGGCAGCAGCTCACAAACCTTTTCAGTCACTTGAATAATTCTTGGTGACCAGAAAAGCCAAAAGTATTCAACTCCTGTATTTTATATAATTTATATATTGTGACCGACTGAAGAGTCCCGACCCCTCGTTTGGGAACTTTGCACATAAACCAAACATTTACATCATAAGGTTTCAAGATCCCCAGAGGATGAATCCAGTAACAGTTTCTCAATTACTCCGTAAACTGTCACTACAAGTGTAAAATGGATTACAAGTAAAAAGTCGTTAAATGGTTGTTATTATTGTTTTTTATGATATTTAAGTAAATGCAGTAAAATGTTAGTTTAGAGCTTCTGGGAGGAGGGGGAGGAGTATCGTCCCTTTAACGACACGTTAACTCATCAACATGCGGTTAAGCTCGTTAAATCATTATACTTCGGTTAAGCTGTGTAAGAAGTTAAACTGATTTTTATAGCTAATAAGAAATTATGAGCTAACGAATATTTCGTCAACAGGAAATGTTAGCATGCTAAACTATGACGGTAAACATGCTAGTATGTTAGAATTTTAAGAATGCTGTTATTTTACTTGAGCATCTCTCATGTTAATTTGGTCGTGTTGATTTGGGTTAAATTCGTGAATGAACAGGGAGCACGAGTTCTTGTCACTTTCAATGCCACCACTAGATGGCACTAAAACCCCACATTTTCAAATCATCGGTTAACAAACCGGAAACAGGAAACCTTGAAAACAAAACGTCTTGACAAAATGCAGCCACGGCCGTTTAGAAATATAGTGAGGAACATTAGTAAAGACCAGGAAGTGAAGTACGAATATAATGATCTCTGTGTCGTAACCCCGCCTCTGGACTGACCAAAACAGAAACTGTGAAAAATGTGACTCACCCTGGATTTAGGACGAGGAGAGGAAACCTGAGAAACACCAAGCGACACAGTGACTGACTGCACAGCAGGAAAATAACATCAACACACTTTGAAATAAACAAATAATTCAGCCGCTGATTGAAACCCCCCCGTTCCTCTCTGTACCATGATGTGAATGAGGGAGTCACGATGGTGAAGCAGAGGAAACTGGGTTAGTTCGCTGTATGTGAAACACTGCCGCAGGTTTGATGCCGAGAGACGTCAGTAAGAGAAAACACTGACAATTCAAAACTAATATCATGTAAATGGAAGAAAATAAGTTTCTTGTGTTCTGACTAACGCCACAGTTTACATTTGAAGTTTATTATTTGGCTAAAACTTCAGGATGTTAGCATGACGCCACAAAATGACTTCATGTGCACGGTTAAATGTTTGTAAACCACTGATATGAGCTGTTGTGCAATATCCAATAACACAAATCTAAAAAAAAAAAAAAACACTTACAATGCTCCTGAAGAAATGCACCACAGCGTTTTCATTGGTCCGGCGGCGAGCGGAGGATTGTTGGGGCGAGGAGGCCAGGTGACCCCGGAACGACCCCTGTGAAGAACGGAGATCAAGTATATGTTTATCACAGACTGTCCTCTCTGGTAGCAGACGGGACATTTTGTGAACGATCTCATTTAAGGTCGTTTTGATCAGACTGATGTTTAGTCAAGTGTTTATTTCCTGGTAATTTTTTTCTTAGTTATTTGATGCTATGAAAACAGCTGAGAAAAGTGCATCAGACATGTCGGGCTTAATATTTGCACAACAGGAGAAAGTGGAGCTGCATCGTCCATCTTTACAAACGATACAAAACATCACAAACTCAAATGATGTGAAATCAAACAGAAATCCTATCAATACAAATCAGGTTTTTACTTTTTAACTTTCGAGAGCAGCATAAAAAAGAGCTTGGTAGCTTGAAGTTCTTTCCTGAACGTTCACCCTCCCCCGCCTCGTGATATATTAAGTACACGATTTCTGAAGGTCTTACAGAGTGTTTGGTCTCAGCAGGTGCGAGTGAGAAACCATATGAAGCAGGCTGCACACCAGCGAGGACGAGGAAGGACTAAATGATGAAAGCTCTGCACGTTTCGACAGTTAAAGACGATTAAATATGGAAAAAGAAGCAGCGTGAACGAAGTTGTCAGTGTGAAGCCACATTTAGGAGACTCTGTCACTCAGTGTGACACGATGCACACACGCAGGGTTTTTCTTAATGTTTCATCAGAGCAAATGTGCAGAAATAAAGCTGAGAGTCTAAGTATAGTAAGTATAGCATATAAAGTATAAGCCTGTAAAAATATTTCCCTCGACAAACAGTCAAGTGCATTAAAGTGTGAGTCCGACATTCTGCGTCCACGCAGAAAAACAGGATGAAGGGGACGAGTTGAGAGTCGCTCTGACGGCCACTCTCATCACAGAGCAATGATTCTTAAATCTTAAAAGAGGCTTAAAGGGTCAAAGGTTGGGAAATAAAATAATTTGTTCCTCTTCTCAAGTTATAATTTAAATTATAATGTGGGATGCGATTTAATTGTAAAATAAAAATTTTCTAGAGATTACTTTCCAGAAAAATCACTCTGTATTTATTTTTCTTGTCTCGTCTCGATGAAGGAGAATCTTCCCAAAAATAGACAAACTGGTGTGTAACTTGAAATTTAGTTTTATAAAATCAAAATATGAAGTTTTGAACTGGGGGAGTGAACCATCAACACTGGGCGCAGCAATGGAAGACTGAATAATTCTAAATGGAATTGATAATATTTAATATCATCATTGACATACATGGTGAAGCTGAAATATTGATCTTGAGTCTTGGGTTTAAAACTAAAACCAGAGTTGCAAAGAAATATTACGGAACCCAACACTGAAAACCAACTTTGAACAGAAGTCTACTTGAAGTTAAAGTTAATCTGACAAAGAAAACTTTTCTTTTAAATTTCGATGCTCACCTTGCTCCTTTTCTTTTTGTCTCCCCCAAAGAATTTGCTAATCTGATCCATGAGTCCAGGGTTCTTCTTTTTCCTCCCGAGCCCGAATGCGCTCTGCCCTGAGCTGCTCGCCGTAGCCATGCTGGGTGTAGCTGAGGTTGGGTGGGGTTGGCCGATGTCTAATTGCTCAGTCGTCCTCTTCCTGTCTCCAGTCCACGGCCCACAGCTCTCAGCTCCGTTTGCAGCCTTTCTGACGCTCGGGGGCCGTCTTTGAAGGTGTCGTCCCAGCAGTCTCGGGGCACCATGGGACATGAGGTCAGGTTCTGGAGGGGTGGGGGGTGGGGGGTGGGGAGGGGTTGCAGCGGTGTGGTCCACAGCACTGGCTCGCCTCCAGGCATTCTTTGGAGCTTCAGTGGCTTGTGTCAGTCACTGCCGCCCTCCGCACGCATGGGCCCAGCCATTGTTCCTCTCCTCATCTGCCTCACCCCAACCACAGGGACAACAAGGCTCATCTCTGAACTCACGGCCTGATGCAAAGCAGCCGCCGCACTGAGACGCCTTTGTTGAAATCGGCCTCATGCATCTTGTTAATGGATCGTGTTTAGGTTGGACGTGGAGTCGCACAGATTAACATATAGAGCGGCACAGAAGAAAAAGAGTGATGTTGTCAGACAAAATGAACCCGTGGGGACTTTGCATGTTTGGATTTTCTTTTTCTTTTTCATTCTGAAACCAATGAAACACTCATTTTCACGAGTTTCTAGTTTTTTGTATTTAAAATGTGACCAAACTTAATTCTTTACTGTGTTAATGGTTATATCAGGTTTGTCATTCAAACCCAACATAATGCACCGATGCAAAAACATTTTAATGTCAAAAAAACAATGGTTTTATCGTCTGTTTGTTAAAATAACCAAAGAAAGACTTTTCAAAGACTTCAGATCTGCACTTCCACAAACAAATGTTACGTGTTGACTGTGTGATGTGGATAAAAAGTGACCTTGAGTGAGGACTGTTGTGTTTGAGAGTTTTCTCATTAATCTGCAGAGAACTTTCACTTCTTCAGCAGCAAATCCCAACGGTACAAGAAGTCGTGGATGTGTTGTCCCATTCAGTGTCCGATAAACAAAGAAACATCTGTTGCAGGATACGTTTTGTCAGAAAACACCCATGCAGAATCAGAATATTCATATTTCAGAACAGGAGGCTTTTTGTTATTGCTCCATTTTATTTCAAGTCAGAAACTTTTAGGAACCAATAAAGTGACGGATTCCTTTGTTTTCATATTACTGCTGATCTCCAGCTGACATAGATGCAGGTTGTCACGGCGCCAACATACAGGAAATATTTAAAAACTGTTTGATGATCAGCTCCTTAAAGGTGGAGCTGTGACACAGGAAAAGAAATTCAAAGATTGTTGGTAAAAGAGAAGAAAGGAAAAAGGTTCATTGTGAGCAAGGGCCTCTGGAAAGATCCAACATGGCTGCTCAGTTTCCTGAATAAACCAAGTAAGATGGGGATAAACTCAGAGACCGACGTGTTTGTCCGTTTTGATCTTACACACAGTGCCCTGTCTGTTCGGCCTGCAGGGCCCAGCCTCAGCGCAGCACCCACGGGACTCACAGAGGTAGGGTGCAGGAATCCAGGGAGTGGGATGACCACACAGCTTGTGCCCTCGTGTCCAGAAGAGTCTTGGATTTGTTCCTGAGGCTGGAAGGTCGAGGACGAGCGCGGGGAAAACAATAGCGGCCATGGATGAGAGCTGTGGGACACAAACACGGGAGATATCCTCGAACCCCGAGAGGAATGTTGATCTAGACCAAGACGCCCACTCAGAGAGGCAGCTGAATATCTATCTGCTACTGAAGAGAGGGAGAGAGAAAGAAAGAAAGAAAGAAAGAAAGACTGTCAGATCACATGTGCAGAAAATTGTTTATATTTCACAGTTTGTGAAATCTGTGAGTGATGCACTGATGCAACTGCTGAACAGGGAGGTTCCCACAAATTAAAGATGAGCATAGATAATGTTTCCCTTTATGCAAAATATAAAAAATATAACACAATGATCATTAAACCTGCAGTTCAGTCAAAACATATATATTACTGTCATTCTGAGTTTTTGATGTTTGGATTTTAACTTCAGTATTTTGTATTTCTCATTTCCTGTTTTACTTTGAAGTTACCTTGTGTGTCTCTTGCAAATGTACTTCCTGTCTTTGTCCTGTTTCCTGTTTCCTGTGTCTCACCTGAGTTAAAGGTCCTCTCTGTGCTGCTCGCTCTGCTTTGTCAGTTTGTTGGTGTCTTCAGTTTTGTACGTTTGGATCTTTGTTTGCTGCAGATCGAACTGTGAGCCTGTGGTGGTTGATTTAATCGCTATCTTCCTTTACTAAGTGCTGTTTGGTTTGTTTTTTCTTGGATCTGCTAAAAACTAAAATGTGACACTGTGTTAAAAAAATGCTCTGTCTTCCAAAATATTCAGCAGCGAAACTGACGAACTGTATTTTTAATCCCAGGTGCTTTGATTCTTTTTGTGTTTTTCCCTGTAGTGAAAACTAAAACAAGTTTTTAACCAGGAAACCAGTTTTTCAGAGGCCGACATCACTGAGAGTATTGAAAAATACATTGTGCGTCCTGTCACTGCTTCACATTAAAAGCTGGTTTGAAAAAGTTTTGTTGTGAAGGAGCAGCATTGAGAAAAGTTTTTATTTATTTTAAATATCGGAACAGGAAGATCTTTTGAGGGATTCAAGGGACTTTGGGGGCTGCAGGGAAAAAGGAAATTTTTTTGCGGTGTGTTATTTTAGGTGGTTTCCGACCATGGTGTCGTCGCTGTTTCCTGAAAATAACTAAGGTGGTTCCCACAAAATCATCATTACTGTTCCCTCGTGTGTTCTCTGTCCTCTCAGCTCGGGGGGGGGGGCCTTGCGGTGCCTCCCCCGTCAAACAGCCGTGGCCCCGGATGACCTCTTCGTATCTCATCCAGTGCTCGCAGCCTGTAGATGACCACACAACTGTGATGATGCGCAGCAGCTGATGTCACCGTCCAGTGGATCCTCTGGCTCAAGGAAAGACACGGTACTTCCTCACGATGTGATGATTTACGTTTGATAAATCATGATAAAGAAAGAATAAGTCGACCTGTTCCTCGGAAACGTTCAGATTTTCTGAGGTTCCCATTGTGTGAGCGATAGGATCATCTGTACAATGTGAGTGTGTTTCCCCCTCCGTGTGTCCTCACAGCGATTCTTCTGCCTGATAAACAACTCAACACAAATGTCTTACTGGTCCAACGCCAGTGATTCCATCAACACTTGGCCAAAGCTGCCGCTCAAGGCTCGAGCATAATGCCGTCATTTGTTTAGCAACTCAACAATATCATGCTCTCTTGTTTCCAACAGCAGTTATTTTTGAGCCGCTGCTGCTGTAAATAGAGAATCGCTGCAAACGAGGGCGCAGGGGAAATTAAATATTTCAGATTTTTAAATGTAAAAAAAAAAAACTAGTTAAGGATCTTTTGTCTTATTCACTAATTAAAGAGCGCTCTGCATAATGTATTTATTTACTGTTCATGCAGTCACATCCCTCTTTTTCACATTCATTTTTCAGTTGAAGGAAATTTCTGCTGTGCGTTGAATGTGTGGAACAAACACGGACATGGAACAAATGTTATCTGCAGTTGCTTCAGTGGTGCAGCTCAGTGATCACGCACAGAGTGTAGTGTGTCTGTGTGTGTGTGTGTGTGTGTGTCTGTCTGTGTGTGTGTCAGACCGTGCTGAACTTGTAGGAGCTGCTGCTGACACTGAGCACACACATTAATATCTGCAAATAAATGTTTAAAAAGACCTCTGGCTCCAGACAGCATCTGAAAGCAGAGCAGTTTGTCCCAGCTCTCGCCTCAGTGTCACTCTCAGAAAGACGAATCACTCTGAAATGACACGAGCGCTCATGCAAACCTCCGTCACTCCCTCTACTGCTGGTGCAGGGAATCACAGCAGGAGGCTGCACAGCCCCAGACTCCCTGCAGGAGAAACCCACTCAGTCCCACTGAGACTGTTAATTCACTTTTGTGGTGATTAAACACGTCTCTGACTCACAATCTCAACAGAAACCTCGACTCGATTTAAGATCTTTAAAGGTTCAGTGTGTGGGATTTTGTGGCATCTAGTGGTGAGCTTGCAAATTGCATCCAGCTCACTACCCCTCTGTGATTCTTGGACCAATGTTATAGTTGAGGATTCATTCAGGTTGTATTTGTAATTTAGATATAAAGTCATTTAGTAAAATGGGGCTTTTAAGTCTCAGTTTCCCGACTCCACAGTTCTGAGACAGAAAAGACTGAAGCGAACTTGAAGAGAATAAGACTCTAGACTGATTCTCAGCGTCTGCGTCTCCGTCGCTGATAAACAAACGTCATGATCTGACTTGGTGTTTGTGAAATGAGGGCAGACAGCTGACCAGAACAAAACAGAACAAACACCTGGGCCTGTCGCAGCTAAATCACCCAAACGGCAACGTAAGGCTCGCAGCTACTTTGCAGACAGGGTAAACCCATTTTCAAATTATTGGGGTAAATGGATGTGCTGTTGCTCTGGTCTCTGCTCGTGGCTCAGTGTCATGGCAACTACAGGTCTGACTCAGGTGGGAGCGCAGGGGCTAAACACCTGAGAGGGAGAGCAGCCGGGTCCAAAGCAGCTTATCTCCTCGAGGCTCTAATAGGGTCCGTAGAGGGAATCCCAGAGGAGGGATGGGGATGATACAGCGACACTGGGTTTGTGGTCTGATATCATGAAATCACAGATTCAAAGCTGAGACGGAAATTCAAACGTCACATTTCGGCTCTTTAACGGTTAATTAGTCTGTGGAGGAACCGTTAATGTCTCACGCTCCACAAAGAAAAGATCTCTCTTTTAAGTCAGTTTTATTTATAGAGCACAGAATCAATAATTGATCTCACACAGAAAATACACCTTAAAAGCTCAGATCTTTGTGAGGAAGAGGGAAAACTTTGACATATGATAGATTAAAAGAAGAGGAAGAGGAGGAAACGACAAACTGAAGGATAGTAAAGTACCACAACTGATCTGCCTCACAATGATCTCACAGTCTTTTGTAAGTCCATGAACACAGAATACACGTGAAGCTGACATTTCTATAAATCAACAATTAAAATTTGACCTTTGAGCCGGTGGCATGAGATAAATCGGACGATCACAAAAGCTACATTAATGTCTTCATATGTCTCTACATTTATTTATCTATATATTTAATTAATAAATGTAGAAATAAATAAACATATATAAAATAATAAATGAATTAAAAAAATATAATGTAAATTAATGCAAAATAAATAAATGTAGAAATAAATGAATGAAAGTAAAATCGAGAAACAAATTATAATTTTCACTAGAAATAAAGATTAAAATTCTTTTAACATAAAAAAATGAACAATAATAAATAAATACATAAATAAATAGAATAAAGAAAAAATGATACATAAATAAATAAATAAAGTATAAATTACCGGATAAATATAGATTTACAGAAACAAACTTTTAATTTATAAATAAATGAATAGCATTGCTTCACCAGCCGTATGTGTTTTGATGCATTTAATTATTTATCTCTGCATTTATTTATTCATCCGTACTGAACAATGAGCTGAAACTCACTTTAAAGCTCCGCTATAGGAGGACGATTCAGTTTCAAGTGTCTTGTAGAAGGATTGTGTTTATTTGCACTTTAGTTTGGCCGTCGATGTCTTCGTATGTGGATTGGAACGACAATTACATATCCTTGAATATTGAACCTTGAAGTAACACCAGAAAAACATCAACACACTCAACTGAGACTGACGGTCGGCACGTATCTGTTGAGTTAGACGCAGATGTGAGAGATGAAACCTCACATCAAAGTCAAACATGAGATGAACTGTCCGTGGTCCTGAAACAGTCGGCGCCTTCCGGACGTAACAGGACATTTATCTTTCTCTGTTTTTCAAATCACGTCAAGATCCTGCAGGAATGGCTGATACATCTCTGGGATGATCGGACGCCGTCTCCAAGCTTCACTCTGTCTTCCCCCCGCAGTAGAAAGGGGGGGGGGATAACATATCGGTCGATGAAGTGAAGAGTCACCATGGAAACTTCAGACTGCTTCAGGACACGAGCTGAGAAACCAATTACAAAACAACGCCATGCCCCTAGAAGTATAATAACTCAATGATTGAAAAAAAAAAAGAAAAAGAAGGGAGATATAATGACTGTCATCTCCTTCTCTTATCCGCAGGTTTTCATCAGCGAAGGAGTAAAGAGTTGTAGAATCAACGCCAGTAAATTAAGCGGACGTGTAAACGATGAGAGCTGGAGCTCACGATCACAATCATCTGAGGACAACTGGAGAGATAACATCAGCCTCTGCTCTCAGGTTACATGCAATGTGCATCATATTTGTTGTCATGGTTGTCTCTCCGCGGTGGTCTGCCTGAGATTCACATGTTTTAATAATGATAATACAGCTGTTGCCAGATGTGGTCAGAGCAGCTCAATAACAGAGACTGAGAGAAGGGCTGACGGCGATCGATGAAAAGGAGGAACCCTTTCTCTGCCGGCTCCGACACCTTCACTCGTTTAATCGAGACTCATTTTATAAGATTTGAATCAAAAACGCTCTGGAGTTTTAGTTTCTTGAACCTGGAAGATATCAGAGGTTGTCCGTCTGCGACGCTGTTAAATCACCCGTCGGTTTCTGAGCTGCCGTCTTGAGGCATCAGGTTTGACATTTTGTCCGACGCCATCTTTACAAATGAACATCAGGTTTCAGGTTTTGGCTTCACTTTACAGACCCGGAGTCTACGTCCATTTTTATTTCCAGGTGATGATCCCGACTGAAATATCTCAATCATGTTCTCCAGAGTGTGATGCCTTGTGACATGTGTTGTGTGTAATTTTAGAGAAAGGGGGAAATTTCAATTCACTGCCATGAAATATCTTTAATTTAGCGCCACCATCTGGTTTGTGAAGACATTGACAAATTCTGCTGCATCCTACATTTCCCAAGATGCAACTCGTTAACTGGAAACCTCCCCCTGCACCTTTAAACTCCACACGCTCCCAGTTTATACCAACAACCGTTCAATTATAGATTTTATAGGTTTGACTTAAACCAATGATTTAATAAAAGTGTTGATATTTAAACGGAAAGAAAAGAAAAAGTACATTATAATAAAAAACACAAAGCCACACTTCTAAATTCTTGCATTTTCGCAGTGGAAATTGATTTCAGGTAAAACAATAAGTACTAAAACTAAAGTGAGACTGAGTGGTTAATGAACTTGTTGTGTTGAGTCCTTGTGGATCAGAGGGTTGTTTAATTCCCCTCTGACTGGCTGCAGGTTACTTACTGGAAACAGTGGACAGGTATTGGTGGGATCTGCTGCGCACAACATGGTGACGTTTCCTATGGAGGCAGGGAGCAGCGTGCACATGCATGAGCTGCTCCTCCTCAGTCTGAGCTCCATGTGGAGGAAACGCTTCTTTTATATTAACATGTAACTCCTCTGCACTCATTTAAACCCATGGAGCTCCAGGTGGAGAACCAGAGTCATGTGCCCGTGGACACCAGCACCGTGAAGCTGCCTGCTAAACTCATTCTGGGGATGGGTGTAGATAACTTCATCTCCCTGCTCATATTCGGATTGATTTTCATCCTGGGTGCGCTCGGGAACGCGATGGTGATCACGGTGCTGGCGCGCAGCAAACCGGGTCAACCGAGGAACACGACCAACATCTTCATCCTGAACCTGAGCGTGGCGGACCTGTCCTACCTGCTCTGCTGCGTCCCCTTCCAGTCCACCATCTACATGCTGCCCACATGGGTGCTGGGCGCCTTCATCTGCAAGTTCATCCACTACTTCTTCACCGTGTCCATGCTGGTCAGCATCTTCACCCTGTCGGCGATGTCCGTGGACCGCTACGTGGCCATCGTGCACGCCAGGAAGTCCTCGTCGATCCGGGTGGCGCGCCACGCCATGCTCGGGGTGGTGTTGATCTGGACCCTGTCCCTGGTGATGGCGGCTCCCGTGGCGCACTACCAGAGCATCGTGGAGAGGGAGGACAACACCACGTTCTGCTGGGAGGTCTGGCCCGACCACCAGAGGAAAGTCTACGTGGTGTGCACCTTTGTTTTCGGATACCTCCTGCCGCTCTGCCTCATATCTGTCTGCTACGCAAAGGTGGGTGCGCAAGAATCCACAGTACTGGTGGGTTTTACGCATGCATGGGAACAAACTGCATATTTGCTTGTGCCCAAAGTTTGATTTAATTTAAGTTAATTTGCTCTACAGTCTTTTTAAATTCATTCAAGATGCTTCAAATTACGCACAATCATAGAAATCAGTTCCCTCTGATTCAAGATCCATGAATTAGACAAATGGATGGATAAATAGATGGATAGATAGATTGATAGATAGATTGATAGATAGATGAATGGATAGACAATTAGATAGATGGATAGATAGAAAGATGAATGGATAGACGGATAGACAGATTTTAGTTTTTCAATAAAGACACCTTTAGAGGTGATAGATAGATAGAAGGATAGATAGAACATAAGACACTATACAATATGTAAAAAATATAAACAAATATTTAATTCATGTCTTTGTTATTTCAGGTTTTAAAATATCTGCACAAAAAGCTGAGAAACGTCTCCAAGAAATCAGAGCTCTCCAAAAAGAAGGTTGGTGTGAGTTTTATTTTTCTTCTGTCCCCATGTTGGATCATTTTCAGGCTTGATGTTCAGTGATGAATTGTCGTGACTGAAGATGTTGGACTAACGTGAACGTGCTTCTCCTGTAACGACTGACGCCCTGTGATATAGTGCCGCCTGAAAGGAACGTGCACACAGTGCTCGCTGGGGAAAAACAGCTCTACAGAACTGAATATCAGTATAAACTAATTTATCTTATCGCATGATGTTTGTTAGAGTAAAGTCTAGTTAGAAAAATGACTTAGTGTCAAGAAAAGAACAAAACAAGCCATAAAATGCATTTCTCATTTATCTGTTTTTATTTCATTTGATGAGGTTATATTACCCATCATTATCTCCCTGATTCGGCTCCTCCACAGACTTATATATTTGATCACATGACGTTATATTACCCGTCATTGTCTCGTCTGTTTCCTGCTGCACAGACGGCACAGACAGTCCTGGTGGTGGTGGTGGTCTTCTGTCTGTCCTGGCTGCCCCACCACATCGTGCACCTGTGGGTGGAGTTCGGCTCTTTCCCCCTGAACCAGGCGTCCTTCCTGTTCAGGATGGTGGCCCACTGCCTGGCCTACAGCAACTCCTCAGTCAACCCCATCATCTACGCCTTCCTGTCGGAGAACTTCAGGAACTCCTACAAGCAGGTGTTCCGGTGCCGTGCGCCCAGCGAGTGTCCCCTGAACGACACCAGGGACCTGCGCAGGATGGAGCCGCCGCTGTCCACGAACGTCAGCGTGGCTTACAAAGGTCACGACTCTCAGATCAGTAAAATGCTTTGATGACGTCCATAAAGATGCTGAGAGCAGCTCCTGTGGTTTTTATAGAGTCTGACGGTTTTTGTGAGGCTGCTGACGAGTATCCATAATAGAAATACGTTAACAGGTATTCTGTTTGCCACTTCCTTTTGTTTTTCCATCGTGCCACCACCAAGAGGTTTGGTTTTGTTGCAGGACAAGAGTTTATTGTTTTCAGGTAGCAGGGACAGACTGTAAACAAAGATGGACGACATGTCTCCACTTCGTCCTGTGGCACCAAAATGAAGCTAAAATATCCCACATACAGGCATCGTATCATTAATAACAAATTTACTGGAAAACTGAACAGCGTGATAAGAAATACATAAAATGACCGAACCCACCTTTGACCTTTAAGTTTGGTCTGTGTCCCATACACTAACATGGAGGAGGCCGATACCACGGCCAGCCACCAGGGGGTGATCAAGATGATTTGGCTTCATTTTTGTTATGTCGACCATCTTTATTTACAGTCTGCAGGCGTGAACTTTAATTTCAAATTTAAGGCATGAAAATACCAAAATGTAATGAAAGGCTGTATTATATCAAAGATCTGTTACAGATAATGTGAATAAAGACAGAACACAATCATCTGTCTCCTGCAGTGAAGTTCAACTCTCCTATAATCTTATAAAACTTTATTTTCAAGCTTCTTGTTGACACAAATGAGCAAAGACTGTGGTGTTTCCACCAAATCCTTCGTCTGTAATGATTCAGTTTCTTTTTGTTAAACGAGAAAAGACGGATTCAAGTGCATTACATTTCACAACCTTTCATTCAGGCCTATTCATCATGACTCTGACAAATACAACTGGCTCTTTTCCCATAGAGTCGCCTCAGCCCCGATAGGCCGGGTTATTATGTACATACATTAGATTTATACCACAGAACAGCAGCTGCATGTACATTAGAGTAAATAGTACAGCATGTAAATGTCAGACAACTGTTCTGTCCTCGAAGACTAAACGCTGAAGGATAAATAAAGACCCTCGCTGGTTCACACCTGAGCTTCCACAGAATGTTCACAGCAGAATAAACAGTGAGAGTCTCAATCTTTATTTTCCTGTCTGTTGTTCCCTGTTAGAGTCAGTGTCATAAGAGAAGCAAAGTGAGAAAATTATACAACTTCTTCAACTTTAAAACTACAGCTTGATTACAATGAGTTTGCTGGTGGACTTGCAATATGGATCCTGGATATTTTGGCTTCATTTCTGGATAGCGGGAAGAAGTGGAGCTCCGACGTTGGTCTTTTTTAACAGTCTCAGTTTCTTTGATTGAAAACAAATAAATTGTTTGAATACCGAGCCCAACAGAATTGAAACCCCACGTGTGGCTGCAGAGGGCGCTGTTGCTCAGTAAACTCAGCTACACAGTGGTGCTTTAAAACGAGGCCATTTGTAGGGTTTGTCCAGTTTCTCATTATTTTAACCCACATGCAGACCAATGCATCAGTTTTACTTTAAAGTCCAAGTGTTTTCAATAAGTGTATAAAATATTGTGAATGAATAAATATTATTTCAAGCAATAAACAGATTACACAGTCTCTTGTCACTCGTGCTGGAGCCACAGCTGTATTCACTGAGCGGTACAGTTTGTTCCGATATTATCAGTTTTACCGGAACTGCTTCACTCGTCTCTCTGATCACAGATTACACATTATTCTCAGTTTATCCCCGAGGCTGAACCATTTCAAACAGGTGAAGCTCCTCCCTGCTCCGTCGTCCACGCCCCGCGGTCGCCATCATCCTGAAAACTGGAGCAGCTTCGATTACTCGCACTGAGTCAGAAAAGAGAGGATTTGCATATGAATCGGAGCTTTGTGTTTGCAAAAGAGATGAGTTAATGTGTGAAATTGAGATTTGCTGCAGAGGAGCAGTGCAGATAATAGAGTCTGTGTGTGAGAGGTGCTTTAAAACACATCATATTCTGTGCTGCACATAAAATCCTTCTGTTACATCAACAAGTTAAACGCTCAACACGACTTGTAAGTACAGCTGTGATTAGTGAAGAGCAGGCTGTGGAGTCTCATTCAAACAGAAGGTGTATGTTATATTATATGTTCAAGTTAATATTGGAACAGGGACTTTAAGTTATTTTCTATAAATAATAAATATGAGAGGAAAGATTTTAATCTCAAATGTTTCCTCGATGATTTTGCAGCAATTAGTGCTGAAAAAATTTACTTTATGTAACAGACATACATAAAAATTAACAGTTAGTATAAGATGAATAACACAAACCATTATTTTTATGTTAGCAAAATCAGAATTATTTACTTGAATTGACAAATGAATCATGTTTCCAGGCAGCTGTTGATTCTCACCCACATTTCACACATCAGTGGAAGCTAAAGTAGAAACTCCCACACTCTGCTGATGTTTCCAGATGTTTTCTATCACCTCTTCTTCTGCGTCTTTGGAAGATGTGATACGTCTGTTTGCTGCTTTTCAATTCACACTTGGATTCTGTCTGAGAGGCTGAATAACATCTCTCAGTCTCATTTCATTTCTTCCCTCCTTCACAAACGACTCTGTTACATAAAACACTCGGGGAGATGTTATTAAGCTATTTTCTGTTTCCTCCAGGTGAAGGAGTGAATCTGTGTCGCTGTGACGCAGGACGGAGGAAAGAAGAGGTTGAGTTGAGATGAGATTTCATGAAAAGACCAAATCATCAATCTTCTTTTTTCTTCTTTTGATCTTCAGCCATGGATTTCATTTATTCCTGAGACATTTAACTGCTCCTGACGTCTTCAACCAAGAGTCACAGGACAGGAACAAGACCTCTTCTCTTCTCTTCTCTTCTCTTCTCTTCTCTTCTCTTCTCTTCTCTTTATTTCTCATTGCTGTTCTAACAATCAAACAGCAGATGTCAGGCTTGTTCAAGTGTTGATAGAGTCTTTCTTTCTATTCACATTATTCATTGTATAATTATTCTATATATTCTCTCTATCCCCCTCGTCTTTCTTTCTTTCTGTTTTTTTTGTCTATGAAATCACTAAATCTTTCTCTTCCTATTTTCATTTGTTACTATAATTTCTTTGTTTCTTTCTGTCTCTCTAATAATTATTCTTTTCGTTCTCAGTCTTTTATCCTTTTACTTTTTTCTCTTCTTATACATTCAGTTTTCCTGCTTTCTCCCTCCGTCCTTCTTTCAACTTGTTGATGTTTCTTTTCTTTCTTGTCCTCCCTTCCTTTAATTCAGTGTTTCATATTTTTCTCGATGGAAAAATTGTGTGTTTGTGTTTTGAAATGAAACATTTTGGAGTCAGGTCTCTGTTTCTCAGAAGAAACGACTGATTGACTTCTTCCTTGACTCTCGTGCTTCCTGTCTGTTTCGTCTGCGTCGTCTAAATCAACCTTGATTTCCGCCTCCACTTGTGTGAAACTAATTTCTGGATCCTCTATGCTAATCAATACCTCCTCCTGTTAACCTCTCCCATTCCTCATTTCCCTCGGTGGCAGCTGAGGTCTCTCTACCTCCCCTGAGACCCCCACCCTGCCTATTGAGAGTATCATAAATAATACGGCCTAATTAGATATGAATTGATTGTGTGTAGGCTGCGGACGTTTTCATCCATCACTCTAAAAGCTGCTCAACAATAGATTACCACCCAATAATTCCCCGTGGAGCCACACGGGGAGCAGTGGGCTACTTCAGCCTTGTTTGAGGGGGCGTTATAAATCTGCTGAATAATAAATATCACTCCAGTCTGTTTTTTCTCTCAGTGCTGGAGGTGGTGTTATTACAGGGGAGGTTATGAATCATCACAGGGGGACTGTGGGCTCGCACTGAATAACTCTGATGGTTTGGAAGCTGGAGATTATTTCGCTCTGTTGTGTTGTTGCTGTGAACTTCTCTCTGTGATTCATCCTCAGTCAAACTAAATCAAACAGCTGCAGCTACAGATGAAGCTGATCTTCTCATTTGACTCCGCCCAAAGCAAAGATACGTATTTTGTGATGTGGGTGAGTCTGTGGAGGTTCATGTGTCTTTTTTTTTTTACCAAAGACTAAATAAAGATGGACGACACGATAGCTTTTCAAAAGTGAAGCCAAAGTTAGTCGGCCGCTTCTCCTCCAAGTGAGCCATTGTGCTCCCCAAACCTCCTCCATGTTCACGGTGGGACATGGTCACTAAAAACTAAACTAAAAAGTCAGAGTACTGGTTTTTAGGTCGTTGTCACGTGCTGATGTCGTGCTAATTTATTATTTATGCTATAAACATCATGATTGACAGCTGAGACTGACTTAATGCGATTGGTCGAGCTTGATACTGTTATTGGCACAAGATGGCGGCAGCATTCGTATCCAGGCTTCATTTCTGGAGAGCGGGAGGAATTGGAGACGTGTCGTCCATCTTTATTTCAGTCAGACAGCTCATGTTTGAAATGTTTATTGCAGCAACATAATGTTTGGCGACTCCAACTTCATTTTATATCTTTATAGATATAATGAAAGTCATGAGCAATACTGATGCAGCAGCAGCGGGCAAGCAAATGGAGCGATGGGACATTTTCGCAGCTTAAACAAATGTTCGTGTTGAGGCTATTTTATACCATCAAGGTTTCTGCTGAAGGGCTGTGACTGAATCAGCATCATTTTAGTCCTAAAGGGAGTTTTCCTTTTATTTCAGTTAAACCTTCTGGTGAAAACAGTTTTTGAGACAGAAGGTTTAACAGAAATATTTCTGTCCCACGTTGAGAAGATCGGAGCAGACCTGAGCTTTGATCTCCATCCACCTGCAGCCGACTCCTCAGTATCCTCAGTGCAACCGATGAAAAGGTGCAGAGACGAGCGCAGCAGCTCGGCCTGTCACCTTCTCTGATTAATGGCCCTGCTGAAACATGTCCAGCCACATTAGAGCCCCATGTATCTCCCAGTGTCCACACAGGCCTGGCTCTTTGTTCTGATGGGAAATGGTGTCAGCCGCTCACTGCTGCTTGCCCAGAAACAGATAAAGATTTACTGTCATCAGAGGCCAGATTAAAGCGCACAAACGCAGACATTGATTTCTGAGAGGGGAGAGGAGGGAAAAAAAGACGACACACTTTGGGTAGGAAACTCATTCCAGGGCGGGTGGAGATATGATCAGCTTATTTGGGAGGTGGATAATATGGAGCCCTCTCCAAGAATGAACTTTGAAAGAAGTAAATTGTAAATATTGATTTCTCAAATGAACTGTCAATCTCACTCGGTGAGATTATTTCTATCATCTTGTCGTGAGGGGGCCAGTGAATTCAAAACACCGGACAAATAGTGTGTGTGTGTGTGTGTGTGTGTGTGCTGGATTTGTGTTAGGGAGCACTCAAAAGAGCTTTATTCGCTTAGTAATGGTTGTTGAGTTTCATCCGATAACAGCTGAGATCTCATCGGTGCTGAAAGATGAAATGAAGTGTGACTTCACATCCTGATCGTCGCTCTCGTCCGATGGCTGGTGCAGCTCCGGCCACTTCATTGCCTGAAGGAACAAAGATCTCGTTCCAGCCTCATCCAGAGGTCAAGTCCGAGGGCCGGCGTGATTTAGTGTTCATGTGCAGGCAAGCTCCAAGCTACAGGCTACAAGCTCCAAGCTACAGGCTACAAGCTCCAAGCTACAGGCTACAAGCTCCAAGCTACAGGCTACAAGC